TAAAGCACGCTTCATTCCAAAATCTAAATACATATACTCACTATAAAATTCCCAAAAAATACACCACATCAGATAAGAATGACTCACCGAAACAACAACACATTGATTCAAATATAAACAGCCCATTCTTGACAAGTTTCAGCTGTACTTTCAATGAAAACAGTAAATGAAACTTCAGCCGAGATAGAGAAGTTTCAGCTAAACAACCATTGATTCTACCTAATTCTAACATGAAAAATGTTGAGATATAACTAAGAATGTTTAATCAGTAAGCACAGAACAACAATGGTATGTTCAGAGTTAGCTTGGAGAGAAAATCGTGTTCTTCAAAATGACAGAAATTCTCAAGTGAAGAATCAGCCCTAATCAGCCCATTTATACTTATTTAGTGATTAATGCTCATGGTAATACAACTACAAGCTAGACTCCCAATAATCAATGAAAATCGAATCAACAACACAAGAATATCAAAGCCCTAAGCTAAAATTTAGACTTTCAAAGATAGAATTTCTTACCTGATAAACCTATTCCAACAACCCTAAAGATTTAAGACATGAGGTGTGTTCATCTGTGAAGCATTTTGTTCAATTTTCAACAAAAAATCTAACGGAATAGCTCTTCAACAAGGAATCTGTGAAGAAAATCGTGTTCTTCAGCTGTTCAATCTTCAACAAGGAATATGTGAGGAAAGTTTCATAGAAATCTGTAAGGGAAATCTATCGTTCTTCAGTTCTTCAGACTTGAGAGAAAAGCGTATTGTTCATGTGTTGAAAAGTGAATTTTTTTCTGATTTGGGGGAAAACAAGTTTTAACGCTTTATGAGTTATTATTTTTGCCCAATGAAAATTGGAGGGAGAACAAGTTTTAATGTTAAAAATGTTGGAGGGAATATAATATGTTAGTGAAATTATTAAGGCCACATTTGTAATGTGTTGTTTTTACAATTTTAAAAATATGACACTTTAAAAGTGTGGCCATATATGTAAATAGTTGTTGCCAATTATATCATATTGTAACAACGCTTATAAAGTGTAGCTTATACCATTAAAGAGTACACTTTACAAGTGTTGCCAATATTATCGTAGCTAAAAGTTAAAAACTTGGGCTACGCTTTAAAAGCGTCCCCAAAAGTATTTTAGGCAACACTTTGAAAGCGTTGTCCAGAATTAGTGTGGCCGTAGGCATAAAATGTTGTAGTGAAACAAATAGGTCAGTGTAATTATTAGGTTGATAATTATTACCTACACCATTCCAATTACTAGGGTCTAAGTGGCTTTCCAAACATACCTTTAATATTTTCAAAAGATAATATAGAAATATTACTCCTATTAGTTATTATTTATGTTTATTAAGGTATGTGCCAAATTAATAGTGGACAATTATAAATTAATATAGTATATATTCTTATTTATTGTTTGACTACACATATTTATGGACATTTATTCAGCAAAGCCCTATAATTCATTTTGCTGTCAGGCAACGCGCGATTGCCTGTTTCCTCTGCATAGAATCTATCGACCCCTGTCCACCGCCGACGACCAACAGCGAACAACGACGGGGCGAATGCCGATGAACGACGACAGAGTGAAGGTTCTATTGCTTCTCTTTTTCATTTTGCTACTGTTCATCTCCTGCTCGTTGAGTGAAATTTCTTTTCAACTATTATTTCTGTTATAGAAACTCACGCTCAAGCTTAAAAACTACGAGAAACACTTAATTATACCAATAGACACAGGAAATGATGTCATGCATGTAATCTGAGATATCTCTCCTTTGAATTTGAGTGTTTTTAGTGCCTTTCTTAAGGCATTACATAAATGTAGTATAATTAAGAAGATTTATGGCTCAAGATATGTTTTTTTCCAGCTTTTTAATAGCAATTGTTGATTTTGGCAAATCGCATAGTTCTGTGTTTGATTATTTCCACAACTACATTTTTATGAAGATGCTAGCTATCTCCTTCTTCTTAGAAAGAATGGTGGAGGAAGCTGCTCAACAAATCTAAATTCCTGTGTAAATTCAGACTTTAATTTTGAGAAAATTGAAACAAAATTTATTATTCAGAAAGTAGGCGTGAAAGTACCATTAGTGTAAAAAATAACAACTACATTCAATTCCAAGCAAGGTGGCATCACCTGTATGAATTACGTAGGAAGAGAGCAAGATATCTGTGATAAGGAAGAAAAACTGACTCAGATATAAAGTTAAATGCATTCGGGGGACAGTTGGACTTTCCTGATTCTTCTAGTCATGGGATCTGAGGATGTGAAGGTTGTCGTATATATCCTATTAAGCTATTTATGTTTTCTGGATAGTGCCAGCATAAGATTGGCTTGGAATTCGAAGGTTTTGCACTAAAAGTTATGGTCAATTTATACTCAAGGGCTCTTTAATTGGATCTTTCAGATTACTTTTTGTTCCTACCTCCACTATTTCCTTCTTAATCTTTTAATTTTTCAATTATACTGGTTGGACTTGGTCTAGGCAAATTATTATTATTATTATTATTATTTTGGGGGTGGGGGGAAGGGGTTGTCTTTAGTTGAATTGCTGCTGTGGATGGTATAAGGCAGGACTTGCTGGTCGAATGTTGGTCTGTCAGAATGAAGTTGACTGTAAAGTCGCTTGCCAGATTATTCCATAAAACCTCAGGGTCCTGGCACTACTTTCTTCTTCTTTTATTTTTTCTGCACTGTTTGGAACAGTTGCGACCGCAATGATGAGTAGCCATATTCTAAAATGATGTGTCTTTTAGACCCCCTTAGGCCCTAACTCTGTTAAAATTTCATTTCTACAACAGGACCTATCTTTCAAGACTTTAACTAATGTATGCTTGACATCAAATATATAAACTAGTCTGCAAACTAAAATGAGTTTCTTTTCAGTTGCCTAACGTCTGGTCAAGTGGTCTGAATTCCTAAAAATGTGGAATTTTTATATCTACAGCCTCGGATTAGATTCTCCTTTTTCTATAGCATATATGCTAATCTGCATATCGACCTTTATCTAGAAGGTAACTCCAGTGGACTTCAATTCTAAATGGAAAAAGAATAAAATATGTATGAAGGTTTTCTACGATTTACACTTAATAGTTACTTTAACACTTGGTGTGATAGGAAACTCTGCAAGCTACTGATTAGATGTCTTTGGCAGATTTTCCTTGATGAGAAAATTTGATCGCAGTTTTTTGTTATTATTTTGTTTCAGTTGCCAATTAATGCTAATCCAGTAGTTGTGCATGATCCGTTGAGGTTCAATCAAGGTGGTCAGTCTGATCCCTATTCTTTTGCAAGGGACACAATGCAAAATGGAACTGCCGAGGCAGCTGTCTACAATTCCAAGGTTGTTAACATTATGCAAGAAGTTTGCACCAGTTGTATCATTTCATCTTGCTGGAAATGTAATCTGTAAATTAGTGTTTTCTTGTGATTAATGGATTATCCATTCACAACTGTTACTTGAGATTTACCACATTTTTAATATTTTGCAAAATCAATCAGTCAAAAGTACCAGCTGTATACTGCAGAAACTTGAGGATGCTGTGCATGAGATGGGTCTGAAACTTAAACATCATGAAGAGAATATCAGTTTCCTAAAAGCTCAGAAGAACAGATTGGATAATTCAATCTTAGATATGCACGGTACCTTCCTTTTCGCTAAGTTCAGTGAGTAGTGTGAAGTGGTGCATGTGTAAATCTAATAGGGTCATTCTAGTAGCTATTTTTGTTGCATCGGTGGGTTTCCTTTAATCGATGAATTTACTCTTTGTATTATGAAGTTAAGTATTCACATGAGAGAACTACAATATCAAGATCTCTTTTTCACATTTTGTGTTTGTGGGTACTGTAGTTGCTCTTTGCAAGTATCAGACAGCAAGCGAATCTGGTTCTGAAAATGAGGAACTTTCCCATGTACAGAGTGAGGAGGAGACACTTGGACACATCTTTGTACATGAGAAATCTGCAGCTGGCATCTGGTACGAGCTAAAACGTCATCATGGAACTCAAGCTTCTCATCTTCCTTTGATGAAGGATGTTGTGGGAATTGTTGCTATGCTTGGGAACGTTGATGACGATAATCTTAGCAGGTTAATTTTATGCCAATTTCTGTATTTTATTGCCTTTTTAGCCATAATATAGCTGCATTACAATTTTTGCTTAGCTACATTACAGTTCTTCCTAGTTTTCTTCAGCCATGTCCTTGAAAGTTGAAATTATAGAATCTTTTGTTTCTGTCTCAATTAGAATGATGACATGTGGCCAGCTTAAGATTAAGAAGTAAAGATTTAGTTACGTAATGATATTCTTATTGATTAGAGATGTGCTTAAAACAATTGTGTGCAAAAATGGGGTTGTTTGTATATAGGTTTTCACTTCAGCAATAAGTAAATATATTGTGGTGTTAATGTTAGCTTCTTATCGCGGATATTGAAGTTTGCATCTCATGGGAAGTGTTAAGGATTAATGTCATGACCCGAAATCCTAAGCCATGATGGCACCTGCCCTAACGCCATATGCGAAGCATTCATCATTCCAAGTCCATTCATTTATCGAAAAGAGGGAGTAAAAGCAACAAATAGAATCTATCCATTAAGAAAGCGATAGAATGAAAGAGTGCAAAACGTACGAGCTACAACCCCCACAATTTGGTGACATGAGTACAAAGCTTCTAATTTTCTCTCTGTAACACACCCGATCACCTCAAGAACCACACCATCCATTCCCGCAAGTCAAATAGCATAATAAGGTTACAAGGAAGGTCAAATTGGGAAAAGGAGTTCAAAAGCACAAAATGACCATGCGGGTCGTTACAATATACATATATCTTTTCGAGTGAGAACTGTAATTGATAAACAATTTCTCATTAAGAATTATTATTATTTATAATCGACCCTATGTAAAGCAATGACGAGAGTTGGTCTTACCATACCAGCCTCCACGCTCACTCAACAGAAAATCAGAGTCCAATATATTAATCAGGAATCAATAGAATATTAGGATAGAGGAAATAATCAGCTGAACTCAGAGTCTACCAATAGTCTACTATCACAAGTAAGATCAGTTCAACAGGTAAGAAGTCACATAAAGCATACAAATTGATATTATGCAATGCATGTGATATGCTGGCACATGCACCAATGCACACACGCCACCTGCTTTAGGCTGGTTGTGCTCCATTGGGGACTCGGGAGGTCCATGTACTACCTTCAGATCTTGCCTGTAGGCTATCGGAGAAAAACCAAATGAAAGGAAACTGTATCTCAATACCTTTGGATCCTGTACGTAGGCTATTGGAAAAGAACCATATGATTCATCAATGTACTATGTATGTGAACTCATACGAAAGCATGAGTAAATGCCCCAGATACGAAAAATATATGTCATGAACATATATAAATGCCTTTTCATCAAATCAACGCTCTAAGTTTATGGATAATCATGAATCATGAATGTCATGCCAATTGAGTGGTCATTTAACAACCAAAAAGCTCATATATCATGCTCCAACATATATTGATATGATAAATCAGTATCATGGCACCAGTACATGCATAAGTACTCGTCATCTCACTTGTACGGAACTCCCAACGCCCTTACCCCTTCACATCAGCATTTACCAACACAAACACTTTAAAAGAGTTTAGAAAGTCTCAACTTGCCTTAAACCCCAAGCACAAAATGTCCTGTGTTCGTGGGATTTGATGTTGAGTAATATTTGTTCCTCACATTTTCTCTTACCTGCCTCCATGTTTTTGTTACACATCTCTGTAGTCTCGAAGAACATTCAGAAAAACATGAATCTCTTTCTGTTTAAATTAGTTATGATGATATGGGAACTTGGGAAGCATGCTGTTTCAAGTAGGGGAAATAATGACAGTTTTTTCTGTTGATGGTTGACATGTATATTTGATCTCTTAAATCCAGGCTCCTCTCAGATTATTTGGGACTTGAGACTATGCTAGCAATTGTTTGCAAGACGTGTGATGGTATTAAAGCGCTGGAGACATACGACAAGGAAGGTCACATAAACAAAACTTTGGGTCTTCATGGACTTGGAGCTTCTATTGGAAAGCCTTTGGATGGCCGCTTTCTTGTTATCTGTCTTGAAAAATTAAGGTTTGAGGTCAAAAATATGTTTCTTGTAAAAACTGATGCATCTCTTTTACATACATATGACCCCTTTCCTTCTTTCGGTTCATTTTAGACCATATGCTGATGATTTCATAGCTGATGACCCTCAAAGGAGGCTTGATATTCTGAAGCCAAGATTACCCAATGGGGACTCTCCACCTGGTTTTCTTGGTTTTGCTGTGAATATGGTCAACATAGACAGTGTGAACTTATATTGTGCTACAAGCTCCGGTCATGGTCTAAGAGAGACTCTTTTCTATAACCTGTTTTCCCGCTTGCACGTATACAAGACAAGAGAAGATATGCTACAGGCTCTCCCTTGTATTAGACATGGAGCCATATCCCTGGATGGTGGGATGATAAAGCATAACGGTGTGTTCTCCCTGGGCAAGAGGTAAAGAAGCTTGTCTTAAAAAGTTATTTCTCTGTATTTCGGGAACTACAGAAACAATTCTTTTCTATTTTCATCTGTTTAGAACTCAATCATGGATGACATGGAGGTGCGTACTTTTTCAGGTCGTATGGGTGGTGATACCCTAAATTTATTGATCTCCAAATAACTTGATTCTTTCTGAGTGATATACCATTATAATACCTTGTCTTAACTTTGTGCATTAGTTCTGAAGCGGATATGTTTATTGTTTATACTTATGTGATGGAGCTTTAAGTTTGTGAGTTCAGTAGTACAGCCTTCATGAACTTGCTAAAATCTGTCTCTGATGGTCTCCAACACTGTGTTTATTGTACTTTATTGTACAGCCTTCGGCCTTCTGTCATTTATGCATACTCAGCAAGGATGCTACAAACCGTTTTTATCAATGTGTTTATTGTACTTCATTTCAATTATGGTTGACACACTATTTATCAGTGAATTTCTTCATCCAAAGATCAACAAGAGACCACACTAAATCATATAATATAATCAAGAAAGATAACCCTATCATAAAATATCTGAATTTGAGAATTGAGAGAGTAGTTCATGCGATTTTCAGGGATTGGACCCAAGGTTATAGTCACATACTTTTCAGCCAATTATCTTCTCTTGCGCTCTCTTAGGCAGAATGTCTCCTCCTAGGTTTATATTGATATAGCATAACTAAGTTGTCGTAAAATTATATATTCTGAATTTAAGTTGGTGTTGCCTTTTTTTTCCTTTGTATTCTTGTGTAAAGGGAAATAAATGTGAAATTCCCAAAGAGCTCTGGAAGGTCAAATCTGCCGCAAAACTACTTCGAAATTGAAAGACAGATAAAGGAGATGAGGTGGAAAAAAGAAAGAACTGTAGAAGATATGCAGAGGGAACAGGCTTTGCTAGAACGTTCAAGGTTCAATTTTGATATAAAGAAGCAAGAGTATTTGAAGTTTCTTGCACAAAGCTCAACCTATGCAACACAGGTAATGAAACAGTAGCTTTCTCGGCTTGCAATATGCTAGTCATTGGTCAATTCTGAGCAGTTTGTGTTGCTGATAGTAAGTAGACAATGAATTTCAGTTATCTCTGAGTTGGTTCTACTAAAGGCATGGACATTTTTAACTTGATCATCATTAATATTGTCCATGAAAGATTCAGCTTTATTTGATTGGAAGTAACTTTTGATAAATGCAAACATTTACTACTATTATGCTTAGCTGAGGATTCTGCATGGAGACAACATGAGAGTTGTATGTTTTCCTGGAAACTACTTAGTGTGTACCTTCTATGTTATGTCAGTAATGGTTCTTTTCATTAAGCAATCTAAAGATCTAGAAATTGGAATGCTAAAATCCTGATGGTTTGACTTGGATGGTTAATGGTTTCATGGGAAATGTGCAGAAATGGTTTTTGGCAGGACGAAGTAAAGATATTTTTGAAGTAGTCTTCGCTGAGATCAGTTTCTGCTATTCGCTTTTAATTTTTAATAATTCCTTCTGTTTTATATTGAGCAAGTAATATCTACGACTTAATCTTGTCTACATATCATCTAAAGCCTCAGGTACTGAAGTGTTTGTAGAGTTCCGTAGCACTTTCAAAGACAGGTTTATATTGAAGCTATTCAAGTAAAGGCTGTAGGCTCTGTTCCAAATTTGTAGGGAATATTAGATAACAAATAAAAGAGGGCTTCTAATATCTATTAGGCTTTGGAATATAGTTACTTTTCATATTTAGAGTTCTCTCAAGTAGCAATATTAGAGAGGATGACTATTATAGGCAAGAATTCTGTGCAACTTGGGGAGAATCTTTTGCAAGTATTAAAAATAAAAGTTCTGATCTACCAACTGAATATTTAACCTATCCAATGGTGCGATCCTGCAAATAGAGCAAGAATGTTTCCCTTAGAAAGTACAAAATGGAAATCTGGATCTGCCAAGTGCTTTTTTCAAGTGACAGTCTGAAAGCACGTTTATCATGCCTTGAAGGAGAATGTAGTGGTGTAGGATAGGTGACTGGAAGGTGAAAGAGTACCTCTTGTCTTGAAGCTCTATAAGTATTCTGAAGTTCTGTTCTGTTATATATCTATCTTCCCCATATGTAAAAGAGCCAGAAGAAATGGTGGAACATGATACCCTCTTGTATATGGTGGACTATTTGGAGAGAAAGAAACAAGAGGTGTATGGAAAATACTGCAGAATCAGTACAAAAGATCAAATGGCGTTGTATGAAGACCTTCTGTTTTTGGTGTAATGAGGAGGGTATAGAGGATGCTGGACAGATTTTAAATTTTTTCTCTTCTTTATAAGTTTAGTAGCAATTTCTTGAGTTGGTCCTTTTTGGGTCACTGATGTAAATCTTTTTGATGGTTGCCAGCATACCCTCATTGCTGAAGAATACAACTTTACTTTATCAAAAAAAAAATCTTCGCTGAGATCAGTTTCTGCTATTCGCTTTTAATTTTTAATAATTCTTTCTGTTTTATATTGAGCCAGTAATATCTACGACTTAATCTTGTCTACATATCATCTAAAGCCTCAGGTACTGAAGTGTTTGTAGAGTTCCGTAGCACTTTCAAAGACAGGTTTATATTGAAGCTATTCAAGTAAAGGCTGTAGGCTCTGTTCCAAATTTGTAGGGAATATTAGATAACAAATAAAAGAGGGCTTCTAATATCTATTAGGCTTTGGAATATAGTTACTTTTCATATTTAGAGTTCTCTCAAGTAGCAATATTAGAGAGGATGACTATTATAGGCAAGAATTCTGTGCAACTTGGGGAGAATCTTTTGCAAGTATTAAAAATAAAAGTTCTGATCTACCAACTGAATATTTAACCTATCCAATGGTGCGATCCTGCAAATAGAGCAAGAATGTTTCCCTTAGAAAGTACAAAATGGAAATCTGGATCTGCCAAGTGCTTTTTTCAAGTGACAGTCTGAAAGCACGTTTATCATGCCTTGAAGGAGAATGTAGTGGTGTAGGATAGGTGACTGGAAGGTGAAAGAGTACCTCTTGTCTTGAAGCTCTATAAGTATTCTGAAGTTCTGTTCTGTTATATATCTATCTTCCCCATATGTAAAAGAGCCAGAAGAAATGGTGGAACATGATACCCTCTTGTATATGGTGGACTATTTGGAGAGAAAGAAACAAGAGGTGTATGGAAAATACTGCAGAATCAGTACAAAAGATCAAATGGCGTTGTATGAAGACCTTCTGTTTTTGGTGTAATGAGGAGGGTATAGAGGATGCTGGACAGATTTTAAATTTTTTCTCTTCTTTATAAGTTTAGTAGCAATTTCTTGAGTTGGTCCTTTTTGGGTCACTGATGTAAATCTTTTTGATGGTTGCCAGCATACCCTCATTGCTGAAGAATACAACTTTACTTTATCAAAAAAAAAAAAAAGGGTAATCAGGATATTACAGGAACAAAGGTTAAAGGTTTCTCAGATGAAACAGCAGGCGGTCTGTCGTACCTATAAGAAAAAAGAAAATGGTTGTAGAAGACGTTGATTATCCCATATTGGTTTTATCATCGTGCAATGTCACCTTCCCTTTTGCTGGATAGGAATTGGGAAAAACAAAGAGATTAATTGTTAATACATGATAGAGTGTTAAGAGACTTGTTGATATTGTTAACTGCGAAAGATTATATGAAGTTTAAAGATGTTAAATTATGAAGGCATTTCTATGACATTGTCACAGGAGTACTCCTTTTGTCAAGCTTTCGATAAACATTCCTATTTGTGTATGATATATTGTTTCCATGAATGCAGCAGAGCTTCAAGCAGGAGGGGAGCACATAGCATGATTGACGGAAATCTGAGAGCATTTTGGGTATTGAACAAGAAGAAGCTCTATCAGTAATCAATCCTGCACCAACTCAGTCTGAAACGTTGTGTTTCAGGATTAATAGAATAGTCTTATGAATTCCTGATCATCGTCTAGCTCAGTTTCATGCATGTAACAAACTTAGGTACATGGTGATAACCTGTCCCAAGGTTATAGAATGTGTAGTTAACTGTGCATCGTCTTGTGGTAGTATTGCAAATTCCAGTTACTACTAAAGCTGAAAATGGATTGTGATCCAACAAAGAAAATTTTCAACGAAAATGTGCCTTGAGCATGTTGGAAATAGTGGGCGTGAATGCTGTTATCCTCAAAATCAGATTCATCTGTTTCTGTTTCTGTTTGTGTAAACTGTAAAGGCCAACCTGGCGTCTCAGAGTTGAAGACATTAATGTGTTTTCCAAAGTGTGTTTGATGAAGTCATATTTTAGTAATCTACGAGTAGGTTCAAGGTTTAGGTAAAAATCGATTCAAATGAAAACTAAACCAAACCAATTAAATTAATTAATTTTATTTTGGTTTGGTTTAAAAGTTGATAATATATATTTAAATTCAAATGTTTTTAATCATAATAACAACATACGAGGGCTACTTCTGTTGGTGTATATATACAACCAAAACCAGACTACAAAAGGAGGGTATATGCAAGTGAAGCTCAACAAAATAAAAGCACCAAGCCTATAAACTTTGTTGTAACCTCAATGATACATTCTCTCCACACTTTCATCTATTCATACATCTACAGTAAATTGGCATTTAAGCTGGAAGATGAGGACCCTAGCTGTGCAATCCAAATAATACCATATATAAAGAGGCAATGAGAAGTGAAAATGTTATATCAACTAAACAATTAGCTATATTTTAGTTAGTACACTGATATACTCTAATAAAACTTATAATATAGCAAAAAAAATAGTACTATATGTAAATGAAGAGAAGCCCTCGGAGCTAACAATAGAGTTACCTTTTTATGACCTGTAGGTCAAAAATTCAAACCGTGAAATTGAACACTAATACTTGCACCAGAGCGCATCACGTTCTCTTGGGATATGGAGCTTGGACCCTGACACCGCGTGAACCAGAATACTTCCTGCACCAAAAAGCCTTTTTTAGGCTATAGGATAATTTTTTTCTTTTCAACAAAGAGATATTAGAATATACAAGGGTTGTTTCTTCAGAGAAAGAAAGCAATGAAGCAGAATTAAAGTGGCAAACGAGCGAGTTGAATCGAATATGAGTCGATCAAAAAACGAGTTAAATAAAAATGGATAAGTTACTTGACTCTACTCACATTTTAAATGGGTAAAAACGAGTTATCCAATGGATAATATGGGTAACCATGTTTATCTATATTATAATAGAAATCTTGTTAAAAGCTTTAAAAACAAAAACAAAAATTAAATTTTTTTTATCAATTCACTCCACCCCCTACCAGCCCCCCTACCCCCTATCCCAAAAAAAAATTACCACCCCACCCCTATTTCATATAGATTTTTTTTTTAAAAAAAAGACTTTCTTACTACCCCACCCTTTATCACTTTTTTTTTTTTTTTTTGTTAATGAATAACTTTTTACACATTTTATCCA